GCAGTTTTTTCATCTCGCCCTGTATGCCCTCCACAGCAATGATATTTGATACTGGACATCAGATATAGCTCGCAACATCTCTGCCAAATTTTATTGAGATTATTTCAGATTTTTATATAGCTTCGATCGGATTTTTATATAGCCGGCCCGCCCGACTTTTGATCTTTCCTAACTGGTCAATACTATTATCTGTCATAAATTTCGATCAAGTGAGCGATATAAAGTGAAGGAAGTAACCAATTTTGTCGAAACCGTTTATATAATATTTATTTAAGTCCGATACGAAATACGATTCCTTCGGAACGTACTCCATAGAGGATCAACAACATGAATAATTATAACACAAGACAAAGCATATTTAAATAATCGAACAGTAGCTGAGGGTATACATCTGTCGGCAATACCGACTGATACTCTTTTATTTGTTTTTTTTTTTTAATTATTTGTCTGTTTTTTTTTTTCAAAGGCTTGCGGCTGTTTTGTGTTTTTTGTTTACAGCTATTTTAAATGTAAATAAACGTTACACGAACGCAGTTGCCAATTTTAGTACGGACTACAACAGTTGTATTTTAAGGAGCATAAAGCAGTACTGTATGCCAAATTATTTAGATTTGACATTTATTTAAAAAATTCTAGTTTTGAGTTGATTTAATGTTGTAATAAATCGAGGTCTAGTCTAAATGGGATTTAAGACTACTCCAGTACAAAGTTGCATTTTTCTACTGCCTTTGAAGTTAAACTACCTTTCTGGTTGTGTTATGAGTGAATCTTTCTCTTCTCATAAAAGAATAAATATTTATATGTGTATGCAAGGTAGATCTACCTTGTGTGTATGTATATCCCCCCCCCAATGCAGTTCCCATTACCAATTTAGTTGTCGTAAAACATTACTGGAATCGTCATCCTAGATTCATAATTTGGGTACAATAAATGTTGGCTCTTATCATCCAAATGTTTATTTTTGGAATTTGATCGCGCATTATTATAATCAGAACAAGGAGTGTCATTGTATTTATGGATCAATGGGCGATAATGACACAATTCTTATGGCTGTAATTAAGAAAATGTGACCTCTTGCGATTTACGCAGACAATAAATATTGTTATTGGAGTTACAGATGAATAAAGTGGATACAAAATTTCGTTTTAAATTGGAAAGATATAGCTTATTTGATTGTTTTATTGGCGATCGTTGTAAGATAATTAACGCCCGGGAGCAAGCGTTCAATAGTGTATGATAATCGCTTGAGCTGTTGGTTTGGTAAAAAAAATGCAGAATTTTTATGTTAAATAAATCAAGAATGTTATATTTATAAAAATCCAAGCCGAAATGGATTTTTATAAAAATCATTAAAAATATCGAATGTGAATGTTGTGGCAATACCACCATCGTCAGTTACTAATGTTATTCGAAAAAAAAAAAATGCCGAACAAAAAGTATCCACCTTAATTTCTACCGATTTCGGTAGTTAGTAAAAAAACCAAAACTAACAAAGACACACTTTAGAGCTATAAATTTGGAATTTAATAATGCAAACATATCAGTAAGGGCGTGTCTTTATTTTTATAGAACAACGTGCGATAAGGAACCGTTCTTATGGTATTGCCTATTTCATAATCACCCATACGAAGTGATACGGTAAATCTATTTATGCAGACAATAGAAATTATTATTATTATAATTGGCATTCAAGGAGAGTGATCTGGATATACTACGTTGTTTCGAATTTTAGAAGGCATGTACTTGTTTGCTTTCTTGATTGGTGTTTGCTGCAAAACTATAAACATAATTATACCCTCAGCCATATGGCTAGAGAGGGTATATGTATATCATTTGATACGGACAAAAGTTGCCTCGTCTAAATAACGGTTTTAGACCATTTGGACCAAATTCGTTTCACGACATTTGGAGTCGATCTAGCGATGTCTGTCCGTTCGTCTGGCTGGCTGATGCGCACGATAACTCTCGAAGGGAGTATCCGATTTGGTCCAAAGTTGGTACATCGTAATATTATTGTCAAACGTAGATCGAGTTCGGAGATGGGCATTATCGGTCCACTTCTTCTGGCACCTTCCCACTAATTGCAAAAAATTTCAAAGAAAATAATTTACTGCACAAAAAGAAAAAGGATACTCCAATTTTGTCCCAACTTTGCAAATCTTAATATTATCATAAAGGGCTACAATGGTAAAATGGATAATGTCGGTCCACTCCATCAAGTACCTCCCCCACAAAGTGTTAAAATTTTCAATAATTATAACTCTTATAAAATATGATGTATGAGTCCAATTATCTTCAAATTACACACATCTCACATACAGGGTGAGATGAAAACAAGTAAAAAAGCTGTAAGTTCGGCCGGGCCGAACTTTAAATACCCAAAATACAAATTTGGCAATTTCCAAAAAAAAAAAAAAAAAAAAAAACAAAATCCGTTAAAAATTCTGTTAAAATCTTAAAAATACCAAATGCTTATACGACGACGTGGACCAGCATAGGCAACTTTTGTCATAAGTTATTACAATATTTAAATGCGAAATTTGAAGAAAAATCTGTTTATAATGTAGCTAAAATCATCAAAATACCGAATATGGGGGGTACCGTTATATGGGGGCTATACGAAGACTTGGACCTGCACAAACAATTTTCTGGCATGGGCTGAAGTATCCATTACGAACTTCACATGCGAAATTTGCAACAATCCCGGTAAATAATGTCGCTAAAATCATCAAAATACCGAATATCGGGGGGTACCGTTATATGGGGTATCCATTGCGAACTTCAAATACCAAATTTGAAACGATTCCAGTAAACAATATCGCTAAAATCCAATATCGGGGGGTACCGTTATATGGGGGCTATACGATGACGTGGACCTGCACAGATAATTTTCTGTCTTAGGCTGTAGTATCCATTACGAACTTCAAATGCCAAATTTGAAACAATTCCGGTGAATAATGTCTCTAAAATCATCAAAATACCGAATATCGGGAGGTACCGTTATATGGGGGCTATATGATAACTTGGACCTACATGGTCCTGCCTACTGGCAAAATATACACGTGTGCAAAATTTTAGCCTTCTATCTCAATTTGTTCGAAAGATAGCGTGATTAGAACAGACAGACAGACAGACGGACATGGCTAAATCGTCTTAGAATTTTACGCTGATTAAGAATATATATACTTTGTTGGGTCTGACATGAGTATTTCGAGGAGTTACAAACGGAATGACAAAATTAATATACTTTCCATAGTATGGTGGAGGGTATAAAAATTGCAACAAAGTCAAACGCCATAATTGTTTCATTATTTTTTAAATTTTATTGAATAAAGGCAAAAATTGTCGGAATAGAATTAAATTTTAGAATAAGTTTAGATTTGTTCGAATTGGTCACCTTTGGCATGAATTATGGCCTTCAAACGGCCAATGAAACCGTCACACGCTGCCCGAATGTTGCTCTGCGTTATTTTGTCCCATTCCCAACGAAGTGCTTGATAGAGGTGATCGACTCTTTGGTATTTTTTAGTGTCAACCTTGCTTTCCAAAATATTCCAGATACAATGGACCAACGGATTGGTATCCGGAGATTTTGGTGGCCATTGTGCTCTGGAAATGAAGCGAGGAACCTCATTTTGTAACCATTCTTGGGTGGCGTGTGCTGAGTGCGAGGGTACTGAATCCTATTGGAATGTCCAAGGTCTGCGGCCAAAATGTTTGCGTGGCCAAGGCTTTAATACACCTTCCAGAATATTTTCGCGATAATATTCGGCATTTATTTTGACGCCACTGTCGATTAATATGAGCCGAGAACGAACATCGGCTGTTATGGCGGCCCACACTATCACCATGACCGGCGCTTGAGTTCTGGTGGCCAGCCGAAGGTGCACATTTTCAGCTGAGCTCTTTGGCAAGTAAACACGATCATTTTGTTTGTTTACAAACTGCTGAACAACGAATGTTTTCTCATCGGAGACGGAAAAACCAAATTCGGCAGTTCACCACTTTCGACCATGCGAAGCAACTCTTTAGCTCTTTTGAGTCTATTTTCCTTCTGTTGCGGTGTGAGTTCTTGCACTTTTTGCAATTTTTCAATGGCTTTACTCCGAGCCCATTTTTCAATATTTGCCGAATGGAATATTGCTATATGTTCAGCTCACGAGCCATTTTCGGCCACGCAACGCCGGTTTCGATCAAGTCGCTTCTTTTCTTTTCGAACCATTTTTGCTGATGTTGCTGTTTTCTTCCATCCACTTCCAGAATAACTTTTTTTCTGGAAAATTCTCACCAAAATGCTTTTGTACGCTTGTAAACAATATAATGAGCTGTCGCTGGAATAATTTTAACAGCTGTCGGACGAGTGGCTTAAAAATGACAGCAGTCTGAAGTTGGTTGGAGTTTTTTGATAAAAGAACGAAGGAGATTTATGTTAACTTAGTTCAATTCCGGCCCATAGTTTATATATGTCACCCTACGCTCATATGTTCTTTTGCGAAGAAGACAGCCGATGACCAGTCAAAAAGCGTTTTATGTATTCTCACCTTAGTATGTTATGCCATGATGCCAAGCGGCTTATGTACCATCACCTTTACGGTGAATATACGAATTGGTCCAAACTTTTCACATCTCAATATTTTTTCAAATTTGTTTTGTGCCCCGTACCACAATGTGGAATAGATTATAAATTGTTTAAAGTTATATTTCACACTTCCCTACCTTATCAAATGCCTCTCGTGCGACTTGCGAACTCATTTAACATTGGCAGTGAAATTCTTGTTAGTCGTTGTGGGATTCGGCGGATAATCATTTGAAATGTTACTATCATGATAATGAGATTTGTTGGTCTGTTGTTGGTGCTGCTGCTCTTTCGCCGGTATCGGGCTGTTGGCCGTTGGCGTTGGCTGCAACCGTTTTACAGTTTATTTTCTGTCATAACTTATTGATATTTTGTTGAACAAAAAATCATTTCATTTCATTTCAATCCATTCATTCAATTCGTTTCATTTAATTATTAATGTTCGCTTGAGGTAATCGGTAGTAACTCTAAAACCTTTCAACGACTCGCATCGCATCGTAGCGTTTGAACGGAACGGGCCCTTGAGTCGGTGTTTTGCCAGTGGCACTTGTTGTTTTTACCCACTGTTAACATTAGTTGGCGTGCCATCCCATCCATCGTAGCGTGTTGTAGAACTTAAGTGTTATAATTTACCTGGGAATATTTCAATCCAATTGAAATTTGTGTTAAAAACAACGTTGTTATTGAAATTAGCGGCAAAAAATGCGAAATACAATGGCAAAAACAACAACCACAACAAATTTATTTTAATATTAATAATAAATAAACGCGAACGGTGAATGAATCGAAACGACATTGCAACATTAATTGTGTCCAGTAATTAGAGTTTTGAAAAAAAAAAAAAAAAAACAAAAACAAACGGCAACAAAAGAGTTTAAAATTAATACAAAAACTAAAGTTTTTTTTTTCAAATACCCAACATGGAGGTCAACACTAATGAAAACAATGGCCGTGTTACAACAACTGTGTCCATCGAAGTAAATATTATTAATATTGAATTTTTTTAAATTTTCTTTATTTTGAAATACAAAATATTTTAAAATTGGTATATTACCCAATCACGAATGGTGTTGAGTAATATGAAGGCAAGAGAAAAGTTGAAAATAAAATGAGTTTTTGTAAAAGTTTTTAGATGGACTGGATTTTAGTTGCGGATATCCACAACAAATATACATTTATAAAATATTTACAAAATAATAAAAAATCAATAATTTATAACGAAAGTAGCAAAATATATCCTTTTTTTAATGGTAAATCGAATAAAAGAAAGAATTGAAATTCGTAGTACAGTTAAACTTTTCAAAAAACCATAAAGTGTTTAAGGCCGTTGTATGGGGGCCATACCAAAACTGGAACCTCCATAGACAATTTTTTACTTCAAGGATTGTCATCTACCAAATCTTTTTAAATACCAAATTTGAAACAATATTGTGGGTAAATGTGTCTAGGATTATCAAAATACCGAGTATCGGTGGGTGTTCTTACATGTGCGCAATAGGAAAACGTGGACCTTAATTTTCAATGTTCTGTCGCCGGAGGTAGAACCCATTATGGACTACAAATACACATTTTTTTATCCCTAGAAAATGTGGAAAAAATCATCAAAATACCGAATATTGGGAGGTACTGTTATACGTGGGCTATACCAAAACGTAGACCTATATATACTATGTTCCTCGTAGAACCCATTACGAACTATAAATACAAATTTTTAGACAAACCCGTGAAAAAAATGTGGCGAAAATCATCAAAATACAGAATATCGTGAGGTAACGTAATTTGGCGGCCAAAACGTGGACCGATATATCTCATTTTCAATACCAACCATCGTAGACACAATACAAATTGTTCTGACATCGTTAACTCGACTTAGAATAACTAGACTTAGGATCTACCTCCTATATGGCTCCACTCTTTCATATAACCCCTCCTGTTTTGGCGATTTTAGCCACGGTTTCTAACACAATAGCTTAAGATTCCGTATTTGGAGTTCAGAATGGGTTCTACCTATTGTGGCAGATTTTCAACTTAAAAGTTTGTTATTCACACTGCAGTTATAATTGTTATTGTCCCCATAGAACGGAATTATTTTTGAACACATTTTCAACAGAATTACAACTCGGTGTTTTGATTTCGTTAAGGTTTCCGGACTTTTTTAATTTTTTATGCTAAAACTAGTTTTTACTCCGGGAAATTCGATAAGAAAAAATTAGTAAAGGTGAGAATACATAAAACGCTTTTTTGACTGGCTTAAGTCATTGGCTGGCATTTTCGTAGAGGAACAAAGGAGTTTTAGGCTGAAAAGCAATGTTTTTTATACTCTACACCACATAGTGGTAAGGGTATTATGTCTTTGTGAATTTCTTTGTAACTTGGAGAAGGAAACGAGATAGACCCATAGTTACTTTTGAGGATCTTCATAGAATCACTTTCTGAGTCGATTTATGTATGCCCGCCCATCTGTCCGTCCGCCCATCCGTCCATGTATTCTTGCAGGTCCAAATGCAGGTCGCATTTATAATCCAATTGAGCTGAATTTTTTCAAACAATATTTGTTTGTCCCAATGACGAAACCTATTGAAATTGGTGATATTCGGTGATATTTGTTGAAAATCAGTTCAGGTATAGCTATAGCCTCCATATATATGTATCATCCGATTTGGTGTTAAATTCTTTCATATTCGTAATATGCATTCGACAATAATGATTTTTGGTACCAGATATCTTATAGAGCTCAAGATCGGTTCAGATTTGGATATAGCTCCCATACATATCTTTTATCCGATTTCAGGTTTATTCTGCAAATAATGGCTAATATCAGCTCATTTATTGGAACTCGGCTCCGATATATATTTTTTAATATAATCCTTCTCGAAGTGATATCATGCACTCTATAGCATTGTTATATGGTTTAAAAGATAAAAATGTCTCTGCCAAATTTAGTGAAAATCGATTCAGACTTGGATATGCCTACCATATATAAGTTTCATCTGAAACCAAACTATAACCGCTCTACAGCCAAATGTTGATGGGTGGTATGATCTACTTCAAATAAATTCTTTTGTTACGGGAGCTCTACTAAATATGCATGGTGGTGTAGGGTATCATATAGTCGCCCCTTTTGACTTTTCCTTAATGGGCTTTCTCTTATTATTAGTTTCTGCTAATGAAGTAAGGTCACTTGCCAGTTAAGTAAAAATTTTGAAAGTTTTGAATTTTTAAAGATCAATGGATAGTTTTAATTTCTCTGTAACAGAATCGTATGTGTAAATGTAGTGATGTTTCCTATAGGCTGTTGGATATGGACAGTTTTTACTTGTTTGTTTTAGGTCCCTTATACCTCAAATTAAAACACGCAATTATTAATTGATTGATCTCTTAAATTGACGAATTCGTTGGATTCTACGGTATTTTAAATTCAAAATGAATTGACATTAAGGGGATTTTTTTTTGGTATTTAACATTTTTAAGAGAAAATCACATTTGGATGATTTGCGTATTTGCAAATGCGTAATTCGTACATACGAAATGTATATATTTTATGTGCTGTCATGCATGATTATTAAAACAAAAGGCGTCTAATGAAATTTTTAGTGTCATGTTAGGTGTTTTACCTGTAATTTCTTCTCCAAACAGTGTCATTGAGAAAAATTATTGTGGATGATTTAGTTTTCTAGAAATTTAAAAAAAAGATAAAAACAATGCGATATTTTGAATAAATGCCGAATATTATCCCGAAAATATTCTGAATGGTGTATTAAAGCCTTGGGCACGCAAACATTTTGGCCGCAGACCTTGGATCTTCCAAAAGGACTCAGCATCATTGCTCTCAGCATAGCGCCATAATATTTACATTTTTTTTAAATTTTATTGAATTTTTATTGAATGAATTTCAAATTTTAGAATAAGTTTAGATTTGTTCGAATTGGTCACCTTTGCCACGAATTATGGCCTTCAAACGGCCAATGAGACCGTCACACGCTGCCCGAATGTTGCTTTGCGGTAATTTGGCCCATGCCCGGCGAAGCGCTTGCTTGGGGTTATCGACACTTTGGTATTTTTTAGTGCCAATCTTGCTTTTCAAAATACTCCAGACACAATAGTCCAAAGGATTGGCATCCGGAGATTTTGATGGCCATTGTGCGCTGGAAATGAAGCGAGGAACCTCATTTTGTAGCCATTTTTGGGTGGCGAGTGCTGAGTCCTGTTGGAATGTCCAAGGTCTGCGGCCAAAATGTTTGCGTGCCCACACCTTCCAGAATATTTTCGCTATAACATTCGGCATTTATTCTGATGCCACGGTCGATTAATACGAGCGGAGAGCGACCATCGGCTGCTATGGTGGCCCACACCATCACCATGTCCGGCGCTTGAGTTCTGGTGGACACCACCAACCGAAGGTGCAGCTTACCTCTTAGGCAAGTAAACACGATCATTTTGTTTGTTTACAAACTGCTGGCCAACGAATGTTTTCTCATCGGAGAAAACCAAGTTCGGCAGTTCACCACTTTCGGCCAAGCGAAGCAACTTTTTAGCTCTTTTGAGTCTATTTTCTTTCTGTTGCTGTCAAAGTTCTTGCACTGTATGCAATTTTAATGGCTTTACCCCGAGCTCATATGTCAATATTTGCCGAATGGAATATTGCCATATGTTCAGCTCATGAGCATTTTTTCGGCCACTGCGACGCTGATGTTGCTGTTTTCTTCCGTCCACTTCCTTGATGTCGGACCAGTATCACGGTAACGAGTGATGGTACACAAAAGATTTATTCACATTTAAATGCTGGAGTGTTCTAACGATAGCCACTTGCGGTTTTCCAGCCAAATATAAAGAAATCACACTATCACGCTTGGATTCCATCAGGAATAAATCTTTTTTTTTAATGAGCTGTCACTGGAATAATTTTAACAGCTGTCGGACAAGTGGCTTAAAAATGACAGCAGTCTGAAGTTGGTTGCAGTTTTTTCATCTCACCCTGTTTATAAATGGATTCTATAATAAAAGCTAAATAGTAGAACATATTTCCAATATTCCAAATACATTAAAAAAAAGTGGTCGAGTTATGGTGAAGGCAAAGGGTAAAGAGTGTCAAAAGTAATCATAACACAACAAATATAGACATAGGCATCTGACATACCATACCATATATAATTAGAGAGAATTGTTTAACACTTGTTAAATGAGTTATTTGTAGCAGAAAAAAAAAAAAATAAATAAACATTTACTCGTAGCAGACTATTTAAACTAATTATTCATTAAAACAAATTCAAATTACGTTTTTTTCCTCTTGAAACCGTAATTAATATTTATTATTTCAAGTGAAAGTATAAATTCCACACAGGGGGTGAAATATTTGTGTGTAGGCGTATTCATAATAAATATCGTGGTACAGCCTACACAAAGGTTTTTGCTGGAGCTTTAAGAAAATTTGAGAGATGCCCTTTTAACGCGGATTTCTTAAATATATTTGAGGTTAGAAGAAAACTTAGATTTTGATTTTTTTGAAAGGAACGCGAATTTTTAAAAAAAACATTTTGAAGGGCTTGTATCGCAATTTGAAAGTAAATTTTTTAAGAAAATTTTAATGACTCATCGTCTTGCAAATCTGGATTTTAAAAGAAATTTCTAACGATTCACACCACTATCTAAAAGTGGATGTCTAAATGGAATTTTGAGGGATTCATATGGAGATTCAAATTTGGGCTGTTAAAAGGAATTTTGAGGTACTAATATCGTCCTCTATACGTTGTTATTTAAAAGAAATTGTAAATTACTCATACGGGTCTTTGAACGCGGATTATTATTTGAGCGATTCATATAACCATTTGGATGTATAAATGAAATTTTGACTGTCTCATATTGCCATAAAAACGTGGATTTTGAAAGTAATTTTCAAGGATTCACATCGCCCCTAAACCTGTTATTTAAAATGAAATTTTGATAGACCTACGCAGCCCCCCTAAACTTGAATGTTTGA